CTCCTCATGCCACCAAGATATGCTCGTTCAGAAATTGTTGGCTTCGGTCATCCCAGTGCTGTGAGCAGACAGCGTCATTATGACACTTATCACAGACAGTACCAGTACGGGTCTGTTAACAACACTGTTTTTGATGGCGTTCCTGTCACCCCAGCAGTGTACACATACCCCAGGCCTGGGACCAGTCACAGCATGGGCAACCTCTTGGAAAAAGAGAACTACCTTACTTCAGGCCCTGCCGGTGGGCAAGTGAGGCCCCTGTTGCCCCTGCAGCCTGTAACCCAAAACAAGGCTGTTAGATCCTCCTGGCATCAGAGCTCCTTTCACAGTACCCGCACTCTGAGGGAAGCCGGGCCCAGTGTTGCTGTGGATTCAAGTGGGAGGAGAACACACATGACCGTTGGCCAGGTGGCAGCAGGAGGAAGTGGGAATTTGCTCTCGGAAAGAAGCACTTTTACGGACTCCCAGCTTGGGTAAGGCCCCTCCTGACTCTGAAGTTCAGTCAGTGCCAGCACATTCTGTTCCCACAGCCCTTACAGCATGAGCTGGCACTTCTGGGGTAGACAGAAAGGGTTCCAGAGATAAGTGATTAAAATAATAACTTTTTATACAGCTGCCTAATTGACAGATTAGACCATTTACCTCAGGGAAAAGGGCCAACATACCTGCTCATACGGCAGCTTTGTGGGGAAACAGGACATTTCAGTCCATCTGTTCCAGATTAAATGCTGGCTGGAGGGATGTTTACCCCTAGGCTATATGAAAATCTGCTCTGAGCAATAGCAAACTTTAAGTAAACCAAGAAATGGATAATTTCATGCATTTTCTCAATAGTTCCTTGAAATAAAGAAAGGGAAAAATACTTGCTCTTGGCCCTAAAAATGAACTTCAAACAATGTTTTGATAACTACTACCATAAAAAGACAAATTTAAGGAAAAGCAACTGATTTCTAGATGCCTCTTTCCTTCCTTTGATACCTGAGACCTTTATTTTTTATTACAGTATCAGAAATATGGAGGTAGTTTTTGGCAACTGATGACCAATGAAAATATTTTAATTTTTTTTTTTTTCTAACTAGGATTTGGGTGAAGATTGACAGAGTAAATTCACTTTTCATACAGCAGTTCACATATACTTTGTCTCATGTCATTGACCAAAATTTACAATGC